GGAAGAAGGGAAAGGGAAGGGGGGAAGGGAAAAGAAAAAGGGAAGGAAAAGGGGAGGGGAGGGGAAAGGAAAGGGAAGGAGAAGGGAAAGGGAAAGGGGGGAAGGGAAGGGAAAAGAAAAAGGGAAGGAAAAGGGGAGGGGAGGGGAAAGGAAAGGGAAGGAGAAGGGAAAGGGAAAGGGGGGAAGGGAAGGGAAAAGAAAAAGGGAAGGAAAAGGGGAGGGGAGGGGAAAGGAAAGGGAAGGAGAAGGGAAAGGGAAAGGGGGGAAGGGAAGGGAAAAGAAAAAGGGAAGGAAAAGGGGAGGGGAGGGGAAAGGAAAGGGAAGGAGAAGGGAAAGGGAAAGGGGGGAAGGGAAGGGAAAAGAAAAAGGGAAGGAAAAGGGGAGGGGAAAGGGAAGAAGGGAAAGGGAAGGGAAAAGAAAAAGGAAGGTAGGGGAAGGCTGTAGAGAGAAGTAATAAAGATGATAAGGGATCTGAAGGCTAAACTGTACGAGGAAAGTCCAACAAATCAGGAGGCTGTGAGTTCGATCCTAGGTAGAGGCAGATATTTCTCTCTCTGGGCACGATGAGAATATATCTGCTGAACAAAACTCCGCATTGGCGACAGGAGAGCATCCGGCCATTAAAACACTCTGCTAGCGCCATTCAGTTGCTCAGACTCCACCACCGTAAGGGATTATGGGGTTGTTAAATGAAGATGATTGGAGTAATTTGACAAAACACAAAGCCTCGACGGCAGAAAATCAACAGGAAAATTGTGGTTACATATGCAATTCACAGCCTAGAATCACTTCCCGACTGGGAAATGCAGTATGTCTCATGAAGTTTTCAGCCACCTAAATTCATTTTGGACCATGTATGTAATCTTTTGCAATTGCTGCAGTCTAATCTGTAGAATTGCACAAGAAACTAGTGGATGAATGGAATATTTTGGGACGCTCTTTATTTCTGGTTTCCAGAGACAATGCTATTCGGATTTCATCTATATCTGCAAAATATTTACCGTTAGCTTCTCGGTTTTTAGTTTTTTTTCTCCTTAGAACTCATCTTCCTTTCCACACTGATTCTCAGCTACAATCATTTCCAATTGAGTTTGGAAGGCCTGAGATGAATTTTGTTCTTTCAAGATGAGCCAACAAAGGAAAATAATAAAAGAGCAGGACAGGCAATAGGTGGTTTAAGAAGGTTGGTGTAGGATTAAAACAGGAACTGGTTACCACAATATTCTTTCACTTTTCTTGCCTTTTTTATTTTTTTATTTTGCACAAATTCTGGTAGTTTTGCAAAGCGAATTTAGACAATTTTTCAGGATTGAACGGAATCCTCCAAGCTACCCAGAGTAGTCTCATGGCAGGATGGGCGTGGCAAAAAAGTATTCAATGAGTAATATTCCATAACTTTTGAATTCCAATGATGTTGTAGTTGGTTGGTATTTCTGGGTGAAATATATTGGGGAGCAGGGGAAGAGGAGGTGAAAGACGATTGTTTTCATTTTGCAACTGGATATTATGAAAAAAGAAATTTATTAGGATTATGTCCATCAGCAATAGCAATAGTTAGACTTATATACCGCTTCATAGGGCTTTCAGCCCTCTCTAAGCGGTTTACAGAGTCAGCATATTGCCCCCAACAAC